TAGATCAGACACAGCTGGGGCTCCACTGCACACTGGGGTAGGTTCACACACAGATGAGTCTTCACTGGACAGTGAGGGGTTGTGTCTTATGAAGAAGCTGAGTCTCACGTGGGGTTTTCCTGTCTCCTCCTTGTCACAGATATCTGGGCTCAACTGAAGGTGGCCCACAGACTGGATGGAAATACAGAAATCATTCAGCCCACGAGAGTGACAGATTCCCATGTTGAAGTCAAAGTGGATAAACTCTCTCCTTTCACCATCGTGCTGAAAATCCTTGGCTTTAAAGTGGAGGTGAGAGGTCAGCTGCTGCTGTTCCTGCTGAAACTGTCTTCCAGGCAGAAGCTCATTATCCTGCTGCTGCCCTCAAATGTCAATGTGGAAGAGGTGAGTCCAGGTATCTCTTCGAAGACACACGAGCGTTTCAATGTCCTGATCTTCAATCCCAGACAGAAACAAATTATTACTCTGAGACTCTGACAGCATTTTATTCTACAGTCTGTCAGTGAGTGTTTCTAAGGACTCTTCCCAGTGTCCTTTTGTCTAGTGGGATGTGTGGAATGAGTCCATAAGCAAAGAAGAGAAAAGCACACAAACAAGACAATGTATTTCAGCCCATGGAGCTCCTTTGAGATATACAGTATATATAACAGTAGAGTCTAAAAGATTCAAACTGAAAGAGCAAGCACAATGTCAGAAAGTGTTCTTTCTCGAATCCATTGACTTCAAATAACTACTGTAAAACATTGTCAGCTCTCCTGATGTTGCTATTAATGACACCAGCACTGCACCGTGTATTTAAAAAGCACCTGTACTGTATATAGCGCCTTTCACAGGCTGCCAGCTCAAGGCAGGAGAGTGTCCTGACTCCAGGACATGGAGACCTGCTGGTACTTCAGGACACTGGTTTGTAAAATGAAGTGTTGAAAGAGTGATGACCGACACTTTTATATGTTCATTACGAAGGTGAAATCAAAGTACACTGGGTACAAATTCATTCCCACTTTTTCAAACTGCGTCCTCCTGGAGTCGACGGAATACAGTCTATCATGTGGAATAGAGGGATCGACAGTCCAGCCAAAGGTAGGCTCTGTGCCTGCAGACATGACACACAACTGATCTGTCAGGACAGGACGCTCTTGAGCACCGAGATGACATTTTGCATGTTTCTCCTTTAGAATTTAGGGGCCACATTGAACTGCAGGGCAATTTCTTTCCTTTCTGTTAACGGTCATGAAATGTTTTTCAGAACAAAAACACGCAGGCTGACATGTGAACTTGATCCAAACACAAATGTCTTAAACTTCTTGGACATTGGAGTCTTGCACTAACACTCAACAGCTTTTTTGGAGCTGCTATGTTCCTTATCATGAACCACAAAAAAATGACTCTTTCAAACTTGAATATGATTTAAAAAAAATTAATTGTGACCACTGCAAGCGCAGAGGAGATAACACAGACTGTTCCCATGACCCATATAGAGATTTACGTGTGTGTGTGAATTTTACATCAGGTATGTTATTTATTTTCCAGAAACACTTGTTTTTCCGAGATTACGGCCCTAACTTCCACGGGACCTTTGAAGTCATACTCTCCCAGGAAGTGAAGGAGCTGGAACTGGAGCTGTTTAGATCGAAGAGTAAAGAACTGAGAGTCTGGTCTGGGAAGGTGCTGTTGGAAGGTGGGACAGCTCTGGATTTCTGGGCTCAGTCTAACTCTCCTCTGTTTGACCAGAAATGACCCTTTTTTCCATAAGCGTGGTCCTGCAATTTAGTGTGTGAATTGTGTATTGTGTTCAGTGGGTAGTGAGTCGGTGATAATTATACTATATTGTGAGTGTGTGGTGTGTTTTGTTGAGTGGATATGGTGTGTAATAGGTTTGGTATATTGTGAGTGTGTCTGGTGTGTTGTGTTGCGTGCGTCTGGTGTGTGAATAAGTCATCCTGCCCTGCTCAATCCAAGCAGTTTAACAGCCTCCTATCACAGAAAATGTTTCAAACATAAAGGAAAAAACTAACTTCACTTTCAGCTGTTTTAGTTTCTTCAAGCTCTGGGTTTCTTTCACAGATGCTGTAGAAGTAGCGGCTCCTCCAGCAGCCCGTGGTGAGTTTCAATTCCTAACTCTTGGGGGAGCTTTGTGTGAATTAGCCAGGGGAGTGAGCGTTCAACACAATCCAGCCTGCTTATTGAAGAGCACAAGCATTATGCAAGTTATACAAAGCTCGGTTGTCACAGTGTCTTGGGCATCACTTCCTCTGAATAAAACAAAGACTCGTCACATGAAAGATACAGCTTCCTGCTATGAGGAACCCATGTTAAATCACCCTCTGCTACTGTTGCCCACTGACTCCCGGAGTGATAGCTGTTACTGAGCCCTACCTGCCTGCATGCCCAGTTTAACATTACACTCATACCCTGGTATAAGAACGTTCGGTACATGAATTTTTGCTCATCCGGACATGAAGACTTTGTATATCGATACAAGATAGAAATTTTGCTAATCCGAACTTTGAAGTTCGAAAGTGACTGATTTTGGCTGAGAACCTTCTGTGAACATATGGATTCAGTGCCAGCGAAAAGCTGTCTGTGTCTGTGCAGTCGCAAGACATTGTGGTTAAGGACGCCATGAGGCAGCAGTCCTTTGTCTACGATCACAGTGAAAGCTTGTGCTCTCATTTTCAAAGTGTTTTTTTTTCTGTTTGTTTTGTAGTGCTGTTCATGGTCTTAAGGAAGAGAAAAAGATTCTTTAGTATAATAGTCAACAACAGTATGCACATCATTTTAGCCGATTGCTGGGATAGCGATCTAATGTGAAAGAATGAAAAATGTAAATATGATATCATTAATTATTTTACAGCTATAGTTGGCTTATTTGAGTAGAACTGCATTATTCACTGAGCAATGTAATGGTCTGTATGATGTTATTTGTTTAGGGTGGGTTTTGAGTGAACTTGTCTTCGGTTCAGAACGGGGTGGAATTTTCACATAAGAAATAATTAAATTTTTATTTTTGATTTACGATCTCCCACCTTCTCCGGACAGAAACATACCAGGGTATGAGTGTATTAACAGAAACTGAGTACAGAGAAACAGCTGGAATGTGTCTACACAATTAAAAAATGTTGTGCTATCAAGGCAAATTACACTACCCATAATTCCACTGGGCAACGTCCTGCTGTATTTGCAGCCTGCAGGTCACTAAGCTGCCTGTCAGACGTAACATCAGTCAAGACCCATCCTGAGTCCGGTGTTTTCAGAAGTAGCTGTCTTGCTGTTGAGTCACTTGGGATGCCCAGATTAGTACAGTCTATTTAAGGGTGAGAAAGAGGGTGAGATAATATCTGAAGCTGATGGCAATTATAGATTAATATCGCTGTGACTAATTAATAAACTGTGACTCTTGTGGTCGCCTCTCTTCCTCCAGCAGGAGGTCACTTTGTGGACAGACACTTCACAGAGCTGGTCAGCAGGGTCACCGTGGTAGACCCCATCCTGGACAGCCTGCTACAAAAAAACCTCATCACCCTCGAGGGGTACATTAAGATCCGCTCCAGAGACACCCCTTCTGAGAAAATGAGGGAGCTGCTGTTGGGTCCCATGGTCTCCTCTGGGGACAGGGGGAAGGATGAGCTCCTGAGGATCTTGGCAAAGGAGTTTCCCTGTTTGATGGCAGACCTGAAGGGACAGGCGTTTCCATAACACCCTCTCTGCGAGAGTCGCGGGTCGGAGGTGAACAAACCTTTACAGGAAACCCTTTCCTACCCGGCCCGCTGTCGACTGTGGAGCCACCGGAGCTGAGAGGAGGGACCCCGTCCTGGGTCTGAGCAGGAGGAAGATACAAACACCCTGGTCAGCCAAACACGGACCCTGACGACTGACCAGGAGGAGGGAGGACAGCACAACTTAAAAACCAGCCTTTACCCCCCAGCAGGCAAGAGGAAACACCCCAGGACTATATTTTAACTTGTTATTCTGGTTCAAATTAGTTTGATTTCTATACATTTTCTATTCTAAAATTTGACATTTTTAACTAGCCACATTGAAATGCGTTGGTCTCACACAACTTGTTCTCAATCCCACTCAAAAAAGGACCTTGGACTGAATCACTGCACATGTGTCTTTTGTTTCACACTTATCTTTCTGATCACTTGGCTGTTTCTTTCGATTGGAATTCCCTGTCTCACACTCTTCAGCTTTGCATTGAGTTCATTTTCACAACAGGCAACCAGAAAAGGCCGAATCTACATTGTCTTGCTGTCCTGTCTATGACACTCTGAATGACAGGGAGCAAACCTTTAATGCCTCTCATCTAACTACTCTTGACACCTTAGCTCCTTTTAAAACTGGCTCTGGTAAAGGCTGACCAGCTGCACTCAATGAAGGCAGTCTCCCACAAACTAGAAGGGACAATAAGTGGCATCATTCTGGCTTGAATGTACATCTACAGTCCTGGAAGGAGCAGTTGACTGAGTACAAGGATGCAGTAGAGTCTGCTAGATCCAGCTACTTCTCCCGTATCATTGAGAACAACCATAACAATCCTAGACAGCTGTTCTACACCATCAACTCAAGCCTAACTGCCCCAACACATTACCTGCCTCATCCCCACTTTGCAACAAATTCTCTGCACAAACTTACCACAACCACCACTCCACCAATCACACCTGTTTTACTGGTTCTAATTGCCTGACATAAGAAATGGGCCTTTTAAACACTTCAGCTACAACTGTTCCTAAAAAACAAGCTCAGCTCTGAACAACCTAAACAGTTGTCACCCTATATTATATCTAACGTGCCTCTTTGTGAAAATCTGAGTGCGTGCTGCTGCAGCTCAATTTAACAATCACCTCATTGCAAATAACCACTTTGTAACAGAGAGAGGAACCACAGCGAACATTAAATTCCCATGGACTGAATTACCATTTCTATGATACTTAAACCTACAGTATGCCCACACTAACCCTGACACTAAAGTAGCTATCTCTGCACTCTTAAACTGCATTTCTGATATTAAAACCTTCATGACTTACAATTTCCTTTACAAACTGCCACAAGACAAGCCCCATGAACACTGTAGAGCTAATGCAGTAATCCTATCTGTGAATTGCACTGTACTTGAGCTTCAATCTTAACTGAAGAACTGAAGAACTCTGGTTCCCGTCTCTCCAGCTTCTCTCTTCTTGACTCAGCATCCCTAAACAAACTAGTTACACGCATGAAACCCACCACATCTATTTTAGATCCCATTCCCACCACTTTATTCCAGTCCTGTTTCTCTTCTCTCTGTCCCATTGTCCTCAATATAAGACACTGGCATTGTACCAATGGTCCTCAAAACTGCTGCCATTACCCCCTTGCCAAAGAAGCCTAACATGGCTCTCGACAATCTTAACAACTTCCGCCCCATCTCCAACTGACCCTTTCTGTCTAAAATTCTAGAACGTGCACGCTCCAGTTACATAACCACCTCATGACAACCTTTTCGAACCCCTCCAATCTGGCTTCCGTCAACTTCACAGCACAGAAACCGCCCTAGTCAAAGTCACCAACGATCTCCTAATAGCTTCTGATTCTGGTTCTCTTTCCATACTCATCCTTCTTGATCTCAGTGCTGCCTTTGACACTGTTGACCATAACATCTTACTTTCTCGTCTCGAGACTGTGTTTGGAGTTTCTGACACTGCCCTCAAATGGTTTAAATCTTACCTCACTGATCGCTGTCACTTTGTCTCTCTCAATGGGTACAGGTCTGAAATTGGTCTTGTCAAGTCTGGTGTTCCCCAGGGGTCAATACTGGGCCCCTTGCTCTTCAGCATTTACATGTTCCCACTTGGTCAGCTTTTAAGATCACATGGCCTCAGCTTTCATTTTTACGCTGATGATACTCAACTATACATCCATACCAAACCCGACACTGATGTGGCTGTCTCTATTCTATCTAATTGCATCTCTGACGTAAAAAGTTGGATGACTCAAAGCGTCCTTCATCTTAACTGTGACAAGACTGAAGTCATGCTTATTGGTACCCCCCATCAACTTCGTAAAGCCAGTCCTGTAACCCTGTCTGTAGATGGCTCTGTACTTGAGGTTCAATCAAAATTGAAAAACCTTGGGGTGATATTCGATTCTGGCTTAACATTCGACCCACATGTACGGCATACTGTCAAAACATTTTTTTTACCTATATCGCTAGACTAGGCCCTGTGCTATCACTGTGGCTGAAAAGCTGATCAACACATTTGTATTCTATCGAATTGACTACTGTAATGCTCTACTCGCTGGGGTATCTAAATCTACTCTGAACAAACTGCAGTCTGTCCAAACCTCAGCAGCCAGAATCCTGACCAGGTCTAGTGCAAGTGATCACATTACTCCTATCCTGGAGTCCCTGCACTGGCTTCCTGTCAAATTCTGTGTAGACTTTAAAAATCTCACGCTCACCTGTAAGGCTCTGCATGGCTTGGCTCCTCAGTACCTGTCTGAACTATTATCGCCCTATTCTCCACCTCACAACCTTCTTTCTGCTAATTCTGCTCTCCTTACTGTCCCCCAAGCCCCTCTACACTCTTGGGGTGACAGGGCCTTCTCCTTTTCTGCACCCAAGCTCTGGAACTCTCTCCCCAAGGATATCAGAGAGTCACCTTCTCTAAACTTCTTCAAATCCAGACTCCAAACCCTCTTCTTCAGAAAAGCCTTTACTGAACTGGCTCCATTCTTCACCCCTCTGCTCTTCTTAGTACCACCTTCCAAAGTCTCCTCTGTGTGTTGTAATTGTGTTTTATCTTGTGTATTCTTCTTATTTATTGTTATTGTCAACCTGTAAAGCGCTTTGAGAAGCCACCTTTAAAGGCGCTATATAAAATAAAGTTTATTATTATGATTATTATTATTACTATTACCTGTGATTTTGCGTGTTTGACTGATGGGCAAAGATCCCAGACCGTGACTGGATCCCTGGATCTCTTGAGCAGGATCAGGGAGAGGGTCACTGTGTCTGAACCTCTTTTAAAAGCTAAAACATTAACTGGGATACTGTTGATATAAATAAAGTGAAATATATATTTAAGGTGAAACGTGTAAGAAAACCGGCTCAGGGACGCCAAATATGTAATCATAGTGGCTCTCT